TCAAAGTAGGAATAAGAGATCCTCCGGAAAAGAGCTTATTTTCTGGAGGATCGCGTCCAGACTGGCGCTTTTCTCCGGCTTATCTACCAGCCGGAAAAAAGCAGCAGCCATGTTAATGCAAATGCCGCGGGGGATATTTAAATCCCCCGCGGATTTGCCTATTCCAAAGTGCTACATTAGCATCCCTATTACGGAATAGGGGCCAATGTAGACACAGCCCAAATGTTTTGAGACTCATGGTAAAACAGTGGAGGAATTCTTGTGACCCCATACTTTGCCCACAGTATAAATAAAAAAAAACAACCACACACACACACACACACACACACACACACACACACTATCTTCTCCACTAAACATCCTAATGAGATACTGCAAATGAGGAACTGAATTCAAATGAGGAAATGAGCTCCTGATATGAACAGGTATCATCCTAGTTTTTCATATTTGAGATGGGTTACCAGGAATCTTGATCCATGCATTTATTGGATTGTGAAAGAGAAAGGAGGGGAATTGGTGTAGATAAATGTTCAAATAATAATACAAAAAAGCCTGAAGGAATTAGGACAGGGCTCCTACATCTCACATTCAGATCTGACTAGGTCACTTATGACCAGATTTTCAAAGGTGTGTAAAGTTCAGATAGCTATCTTTGAAGATCCGAGTTGGCAACTGTCTCTTTAGGAGCTTAATTACCTTTGACAATCTGAGCTTAGATTTCCAAGTCCAGTTTTCAAAAATGACTTTAGTCACTCAAGTGCTTTTGAAAATTTTAACTGGGGGCCTAAAGAGACAAAAATAGACAAAAGGCAGGAGATATGGTATTCCTTTTAAAAATGTGTGACATCTATTTTTAACTAAATTTTATATTATTTTTCTCCCAGGGGCAACTGACCCCTCCGGCCCCCTCACTACGCCACACCCCCCACCTTCCTGCAGATCTATCATCTTATGCATGTGCAAGGTCTGTGAGAGCCGTCCCATGACTCTGCAGTTAGTGTCTGCCGGCTTCTGGGGGGTGTCTCAATGCTGCCACATTCACCTCCAAAGAGGGGGCTTCCCAAAGCAGGCCCTTGCTGCAGACCCCCAAGGCATCCACAGGTCCAGTCTCCTTTCAATGGGCCCAGTTCCCAGGACTCATTGATCTTGGATCTGGCTTCCATCCCCTCTCCAACCTTTGCATCTGCCCAGAGGTGCTCACCTTCCTCCTTATCCATTCCCACATCATTCACCCCACAGGGACATTCTCTGCTTCACTTGTCCTAGGGACTATTCTACCGAGACGCAACACAAAGTTTCCATGTAAAAGGACTCAATACAAAGCTAAAAACTTCAATGAGAGAATGATTAATACGCTTCCCTTCTACGGTGGAGAGCACATATGGGCACCATATCCGCCCAGGGCCGACGGTCACCATCAGAGACACAACTCCACATAAACCTTTTGGAACTTCCAGCGATCTTCAATGCCTGCAGATACGTTCACGACCACATCCACAATACCACAGTGAGAATCATCACAGACAATGTCGCAGCAATGTATTATGTAAACCATCAAGGCAGAGCTTGATCCCGCTCCCTCTGTGCGGAAGCAGTCCGGTTTTGGAACTGATGCATTCACCACGGAATCACACCTGTGGCGTCTTACTTACCTGGAACCACGAAAGTTGCAGTGGATTTTCTCAGCAGGCACTTCGCTCTGGATCATGAGTGGGAATTACACAATGGGATCCTCCATATTCTCGCCCGACGCTGGGGCACTCCCCTAATAGATCTCTTTGCCACTCATCCCAACAAAAAATGCCAAAAGTACTGCTCCAGAGCCAGACTCGGCCCCAGCTCTCTAGAAGATGCATTCCTCGTCAATTGGAAGGGACCAATTGGAAGGGGTGGGGTAGCCCCTGCACGGCGGAGGGTTACTTTTTGATTTTTACAGCTTGAGCTCGGGCCCAATAGGGTCCAAAAGTACCTTAAAACCTTCTCCTGGATGAGGAGCTCTTATAGTGTCAAAGTCTGGTTGCGGTAGCTCTTATAGTGTCCAAGTTTTTAGCGCACAAACTTACAAACATTCTCCTTTATATATTAGATTTGTACTTTCTTCTGTGGTAGATTTAGTACATTATGTATCGGTCCTCCTTCAGCGTTGGCTCTTTAACTTTCCCACAACAATGCATGTTTCCTTTGATCTTTTTAGATCCTGGGAAGCTTTGTTAAGGCACAACAAAAGAAAAGGTAGTTGGATCCTGACAAAACTAGTAACTCCTCAAAACCCAAGTAGATAAAACCTTTTCCCAGTACCAAAATGATTGTATGTGGGATTGAACTCATGTGTCAAGGCTAGTAAGCTCCCATAGATCTGATATTCAAAATTAGACATCTTGCAAAAATTGCATTTCATGTATGCATTATTGATACCAGGGATGTGAAAGTGTAAACTGTTACATGCAGTGCCCCTCCCTCACACTGCTGCCTCTGTATCAGAAGCAGTGGGGGAGTGATTCTGTGGGAAGCCAGCTTAAAAGCCAACTCCTTGCGAGTACCAGTTCCCTCCTGATCCTTCCTTCCACCCCCGCTACTGCGTCTGTATCAGAGGCAGCAGTGTGTGTCGGAGGGAAGACAGCTCTGCAGGAGTCAGTGCTTGCAGGGAGCCAGCTTAAAAGCTGACTTTCCACGCACACCAGCTCCCAGGGAGTGGCATCCCCCCCTGTTATAAACATATAACTGCTGAAATTTTATAGCCGTTACGCATTTACCAGAATAAATACATTTTAACATCCCTAATTGATACAAATTATGTATTTAAAAATGTACTTGCTATAAGTAGTAGCATTCGCAGATTAGACCCACACTTGCATGCACCTAATTTCAAAATAAACCTAATATTTTTTACTCTTATATCACGAAAACACAAGGTATATGAAATAACTAATAATTTATATAGATTTATTTGTACACAGGTCACATACCTTGGAACAGAGCTGTCAAAAATTGAAGAAGCATGTATTCCTAATGAACCAGAATTACCATCACAACAAAAACAATCTTCTGGTATGTACAGACTAAAACTTAATTTCCAGTTTGACTGGAAGTAGCAGAAAGTGGTTTTTAAAATGCTCAAACTTCCACAGTTCACTCACTCCTTACTAATTTGTTTTGGGAATTACCCTTATCACATGCCTTGGCTATGAAAGAGTTATTTCAGAAATTGATCTGCATGGTAAAATAAATATTCCCTTCTCTCCTTAAACAGTGCAATGTGCTGAAGGAGTCATTTTGAATACATTGAATGCAAAATAATTGTATTTAAAATTATTTAAAATGTAGAAAAATTAAAGTTTTATTAATCATTGTAATTGTTGTGCTAAAATTCAGGTATGTAAACTATGCTTTTCAAACAGAAGAAATAAACTGTTTAGGTGAAGACCCCTAGAAATTCTCAAAAGACAAGTTATTAACCTGAGTTTTTATCTCTCTAATAATATACATGGACAATAAAGCAAAGTATATTAATTTGAAGATCCACAAAGGGACTTAGGCATGGCAACACTAAGTATTGCCTCAGCTAACCTTTAAGCAGCTAGATGAACCCAAGAACACCACTGCAACCCACAACACATGAGTTTAGTGCCTGGGTTCTCGAAACATTAACTCAGGAGAGTTCCCTTTAAGATTTTCCATCCATGAGCGGAGTTAGTTATGTGCGCGTGTGTTGATGTATGACACCTGCCAGCCAGTGTTCTGTAGCAGGTGGGGGAGCAGAATTTTTTCTGTTCTCTCCATGGCACACCTCCAGCTGCCTCGCAACATACTGATGTGCCGCAGAACACACTTTAAGAAACACTGCATTAGATGGCCAACGGGAGATGCCAATCAGAGGGGTGTATACTAAGTCTTGTCCATCTAACCAAGATATGCACCTAAGTCCAGTCTGCAGGAGATGCCTCCTCTGCTAGCAGTCTACACACCAGGGGCAGATAGGCATGCCTTTCTCATAAATTGCATGCAGGGCCTGATCTGGCAGATATTCTCAGAGGGCATCTAATCATACAAAGTAGCTGAATGAGGAGAAATACCTCCGTTATGACCATTAGCTCTGTGGTTAGGATGTTCACTGAGGCTACGACTACACTATGAGTTTTCTCCGCAAAAAATATGCTAACGAGGGACTCATTTGCATGAGTTGTGATCTCATTTGCATATTTTCTGCTGATCCGTTTTTGCACTGGGGAAAAAGGGGGTTTTGCTCAAAAAGAAAATGTCCACACTGCTTGTTTTTGTGCAAAAACTCAGTGTAAAATCGGATCAGCAGAAAATATGTAAATGAGATCGTGATTCATGCAAATAAATCCCTCATTTACATATTTTTTTGCCGAGAAGACTCATAGTGTAGACATAGATTGAGGATGTTTAACTCCCCTTTTACCTGATGAGAATAGATTTGAATAGAGTTCTGCCACTTTCAGTCACTGAGCTAAAGGTTATAAGGCAAGTCTTCCTCCTCCAGCAGTTTTATACAGAATTAAGAACACATTTTTTCTAGTGAATACAAGGCCTTATACATTTACCTTTGTCTTTGCCATAGCTGGGGGATCAGGTCCAAAAGTTTATCTCAGTGTTAGTTCAGTCGTGTGATGAATTGTTGACTTCAGTGGATTGCATGGATGTGAGAGCAGAATTTCCACCACTATATGTAATAGTGTGTATTTCTGTTCTCCTTGAACCAAATCATGGAATCTTTATGTAGCTTATACTTTTGACTCTTCTTCAGACAAAATTTACATAGCGATCAATAAAAACAATAAGGTGTCTGGTGGCACTTTAAAATCTAACTGATTTATTAAGAGGAGTCCTATGGCACCTTAGAGATTTAACAGATTTATTAGGGCATAAGATTTCATGAACAAAACCCATTTCATCAGATGAATTGGAGTGAAAGTTACAGAAGCAAGGGTGTATATAAGGAAGAAGTTGCTTGTGTTAATGAAACTAATCAAGTCAGGATGGAAGTGGGTCATTCACAGCATTGGTGTGTAGATGTAAATATCCAGAGAAGGGAAATTGCCTTTGAAATGCATTAACCAATTGAGATCCTTATTCAATCCTAAATTAATAGTGTTGTATTTGCAAATGAATTCCAGTTCAGCTATCTCCCTTTGTAACTAGTTTTTTAAATTATTTTCTAGAAGGATGGCTATTTTCAAATCCATTACTAAATGTCTGGAGAGGTTACACTTGTTTTTGCAGGAAGGTTACTCGTTGTTTTGGCAAATGAAGACTAACACAGCTATTCTTCTGAAGTTTATTAGGGTATTAGATCATAAGCTTTCGTAAGCTACAACTTACTTCCTCAAATGCTGAAAAGAAAAAGGCTAAAAAAAAGATACAGAGATGGGACTGTGACATCAGTGCTAGTTGAATCAGAGCAGATGTAGCTCATCTCCAACAGTGGTGAGAATTTCAGAATACTTGAATGGGAAATTACCTATCATAATGCCAGAACCACTCTATGTGTTTGTTTATACTTGTGGGCTACGTCTATAATCCAACGCTATTTCGGGATACACGAATATCCCAAAATAGCTATCCTGTGGCTTGACAGCAAGCCCGTTATTTCAGGCTCACTATTTCAACTTCCCTGTAAACCTCATTCCATGAGGAGTAAGGGACATTTCGGAATAGCAGGTTATTTGAAATTATGAAATAAACTATTTCGAAATAAGATTGAAATAAAACATGCAATTTGCGTAGCTCAAATTGCATATCTTATTTTGAAATACAGTGCACTATAGACTTAGCTGTGAAGTCTAACCAGTTCTATGGCTACTGCTATAGTGAACTAGCCACACACAACCGACCAAATAGCCACATTTTTCAAGCCAACTAGCCACACTCAACCACCAAATAGCCACATGTGGTTAGTAGCTAGTGATGAACCAGAGGTTCGAGGATTGTCTAAGGGTGGATTTTTGTGGCAAGGGACTGGGGCTGCGAAGGAGGAAGGCCCGAGACTTAAATGCACTTAACCAATTACAACTTTATTAACTACAATTTGATTATATTAAATCACTGTCTCTGATTCGTCTTAGACAGCGCAGCATGCAAAAAAAAGAATATAACAAATAAAACCAATACAGCAATAATAAAACCTCCCCCTGTAGCCAATCCTTCCATGGTTATCTTTGAACAGCTGGTGCAGTTAGTCATTAATCTACATATACTTAACAACCTCTAAATATGAAATGGTTAATACAATACAGTAAGCCCAGAAACGATTACGATTCACAGACACAAAGTAACGCGAGGATGCTCCGGATTCGTACACCCTTTCGTGATTCGGTGGGTGGGAGGTGGCCTTGGGTGATCAACCTCTCAGCCAGGCTGGACAATACGTGCCTTCTATTTTTTTATACAGAACCTCCTCGAGCTTAGGGCTCAGGGTGCTTTATACTATAATTTTGACATCCGGTGCCATATTAGGGTTCAGCTTTAGCTGATACAATGATTTGATATCCGGTACCATATTAGGGTTCCTTCCTGTTTGATATGACGTCTGCCTCAAGGCATTGCGGTCAGTGCCTGATGCAGACATGACTGGCACACGTGAAAGCTAGCTATGTTTTTTCTTTCCCTGTTCCAGGTGCTTGTTAATTGGTGTTTTATGACAGCTCATTTCCTTTATTCCTATCTTGTCCTGTTTTTAGTGCTCGTTAACCTAACTTTTTTCCCTACTCTTATCTTCCTGGCCCAGGTGCTTGCCAAGTTCAAGTTCCATTTACTGGGGACTGCGCTGGGGCTTGAAGGCCCCTGGCACGGGTGCTTGCCAAGTCCAATTCCGTTTACTGAGAACCGTGCTGAGCACCCGAGGGAATTCAAGCTCTGTCTCTGGATCCGCTTCAGCGGCCTGTGTTTTTCTTGTAAGGGACTTTTGTGTGGCAGTATGGGCAATACGCGCGAGGCCGTGGTCAAAAGGACCTGCTATACGACAGCTAGCATGTTGGAAGCACAGGTTTACATGTTTGTTGCATATGAATTCTAGCTCAGGAGTATTTCTCTGCAGTCTGTTTTTGCAGTTTTTCTGTCTAAGAATGGCAACTTGCAAATTTGAGCAGGGAGGTTAAATACTTCCCCACTAGATTTTGGCTTTTGCCATTCTTAATGTGTGATTTGTGTCCATTTATTCTTTTGCAGAGAAACAATCCAGTTTGTCCGATGTACATGGCAGAGGGGCATTGTTGGCACATGATGGCATATATTATATTAGTAGATGTGCATGTGAATGAGCCTTTGATGGATAGCTGATGTGGTTAGATTCTGTGATGGTGTCACTAGAGTAGCTGTGAGGACAGAGTTGCCAACAGGGTTTGTTGCAGAGGTAGGTTCCTGGATTAGTATTTCTGTTGTGGTGTGTGAAATTGGTAGTGATTGTTTCCCTCAAGTTGGGGGGCTGTCTGTAAGTGAGGACTGGCCTGCCTCCCAAGGTCTGTGAGAGCAAGGGATCGTCATCTATGATAGGTTATAGATCCTAGAGGACGTGTAGGAGAGGTTTTAGCTGGGGACTGTAAGGGTATGTCTAGACTACATGCCTCTGCCGACAGAGGCATGTAAAATAGGCTACCTGACATAGTCAATGAAGCAGGGATTTAAATATCCCTGGCTTCATTAAAATAAAAATGGCCGCCGCGCTGTGCCGGCTCAGCTGATCGTCGGCAGAGCTCATGAGTCAAGACACGGATTGGTCGACAGGGGAAGCCTTTGTCGACCATTCCTGTAAATCTCGTTTCATGAAGCATAAGGGAGCGGTTGACAAAGGCTTCCCCTGTCAACCGATCCGCGTCTTGACAATCAGCTGAGCCGGCACAGCGCGGTGGCTATTTTTATTTTAATGAAGCTGGGAATATTTAAATCCCCACTTCATTGACTATGTTGGGTAGCCTATTTTACATTCCTCTGTTGGCAGAGGCATGTAGTCTAGACATACCCTAAGTAATGACTAGTGATGTTCTGTTGCTTTCTTTGTTAGGCCGGTCCTGTAGTACAGTAGTTCCCAATTGCCAGTCTGTGGACCAGTGCCAGACCATGAACTGCTGATTGCTGGACTGTGGCACACTACTAGGCCACACCCATGTCAGTTGCTCCGGGCCCAGGGCTGGGGTATACCCTGGGAACGTGGCTGATGGCTGCCGGGGCTGAAGCTGGCTGTTTGCGGCAGCTCTGGGGTCTGGAGCTGGGGTACACCCAGAGCCACTTGCACAGCAGCCGGCTTTGGCTCCAGCAGCCACCACGTGGCGGACAGCTGTTCACAGTGGCTCTAGGGGCTGGGCCTTTGATTTTAGGCAAATATGCAAATGAATGTGCATAATGATATGCAACTAAAATGTTACCCATCTGCCTAAAGTTTGTGAATAGGTTTGTCAGTACATGGTATAAAAAAGGCCAGGAATAATTGGTGTGATAGATGACTTCTAGGTATTTAATAGAATTTTACTAAAGAAAAGCCATGTAAAAGTTAATGTCCAGTCCTGCAATTGACTCAGCTCCTGTTAATGTGACTATATGGGGGAACAGGGGACTAGGCATGCACAGCAAGTTACAGAATCTCACACTACATTGAGAATGTTAGGATGTGTTCCTGTGTTTAATTGTAAGCCATAATGGCATCAATAGGTCTCTGTGTTAATGTAGGGGTTTGGTAACGTTGTAAATTGCAGAATTCAGATTTTGCTGATCTGGAACATTAAACATCATACCACAATGGCAGTCCCTTTTTCAATCCACAAAGAAATTTCTGCTATAAAATGCATCTGCAAAGCAGGATACATTCGGTTTGTTAGAATACATTTGTTTAATTCTCTAATTAATTTCAATTCCGTAATTACACTAATTATATTTGTAATTATACGTACTTAGCTCACTAAGGGTAAGTCTACACTACCCCGCTGGTTCGAACTAGCAGGGTAATGTAGGCATACCACACTTGCAAATGAAGCCCGGGATTTGAATTTCCCGGGCTTCATTTGCATAAGTGGGGCTCCGCCATTTTTAAATCCCCGCTCGTTCGAAGCCTGTGCCGCGCGGCTACACGCGGCACGAACTAGGTAGTTCGAACTAGGCTTCCTAGTTCGAACTACCGTTACTCCTCGTGGAATGAGGAGTAACGGTAGTTCGAA